CTTTAGCCCAGCACCCACAGGACACAGGAGCCCACAAAGCATCGGGACTGGGATGTGGCATGGGGAGCTCTCGGCTCCCCCCACTTGGGGATATCCACAAGCAGAGGTGCTGGTTCAATGTGAGCCACATGCTCCTTTGCTCCATGGCTCGTCTCACTGGTCTGGAGGCGGCTCAGGGTATATCCAGCTGTATCACAGCCATGGGCACCCCTGAGACCCATTGCCCTGAGCCTCAGGCTCAGCAAGACCCTTCTGTCACTGCTCCTCCCCTGCAGCATCAGCTTCTCCTCTAGGACTTGCCATTGGAAGTGATGCTGATGTGGCAGCTCAGGCTCCAAGCGCCAGGCACAGCACTGGCCGCTCTTGCCAGCTTGTTTCCAGTGCTCAGGCTGATCCCTGAGGCACCTCCCCGGAGCACCGAGGGACCATTCCAGCTAAATGCACAAGTACTTTAACACGCATGGCCTTGGCATGTCCGATGGCAGAGGCACAAGGACACCATTACTGTCATGCATTACACAGACCTAACCAGCTATAACAGTCAAACACAGAAGTGGCTGGACACCGACCTCGAGTGTGTCCACTGTGAAAGAGAAGGTTCACACACAGAAACTTAGATTTGGTTTCCACATCTGAAATAAAACTCCTGAGTTCGCTGCTACAAGAGCTGGTTCTTTTCCTGTTCTTTTCAAGAAGGAAAAAGGAGCCCGAGGTGCAAATAACGCTTCCTGCTATGGAAAGCAGAAAATGCTCCTTGCACATTTTCCAAGGTTAGCTCCGAAGAGGAAGCTGCTCCCAGACTGCAGCTACAGAAATGAACAAGCCAAAAGTTAGAATCCTCTGCTATAGTTGGGGTGGTTATAAAAGGGTTGAGTGCCTTGGTTCTCTTCATCCCAGAAGCATCCTGTCTGGCTTCAATAGGAGACTGGTTACTCAGTACTCTTAAAACTTGAGCAAGTGTCTAAATATACACTCAGGAGGCAACACTTGACTCTGTTATGTAAAAACCCCTCCAAGTCTGTCATTTCAAGCACTGAGACAACAGAACAGCAAATCTGTAGTTTCAGTGTCTTCACGTAACTGAAGGCTCAGTCTATTCCCTCTCCTCTTTGGTTGCTGTGCAAGCTGCTTCTGCATTAGAGACAACAAGAAAGTAGAAAACCAGAACTGTGCCTTTGTGCCTGGCAAGAAAGTCCAGCAACAAAATGTGCATCTCAGGCTCCTGTGCTAAGGTGATGTTTAGCAAGCTATTGTTTAGAATAATTACTTTAGCTTCCTTTTTGAGAGCAAATGCCAGCCAGGACTAGGGAAAAGGGGGCTGTAAGGAAAGTAACAGGATAACCCAGGCCCTCCCAGCAAAACATGTTTGTGCTTACCCAATAGAAGCAAGTCATTTTCTGGATCAACCTTTGGGTTAGATCCAATCGTTCACTGTTTAGTCAAGAAATGGGACAAATGCACCAAGAATGGCTATGTATATGGGAAGTGGGTTTTGTAAATCAGTTTCCACTGGCCCTAATTCAGCCTCATGCGGGCTTTTACACTGATTCACCACTCCATCGCGGCTCCTTGCTCCCGAGGCCTGGCCGGGGGTGCTTTGCTCCAGCAGGTCAGGGAGTGTGGCTGGAGCAGGTCAGAAGCTCAGGACACGGGTTGGGGGGTGCTGCTGTGCTGTGTGATTTCTCACAGTATCCCAAGCTTCCCAGTCCTGGTCACTGGAGTCCCCCGAGCCGTTACATCAGAGGCTTCATGGGGATGTGGCACAGTCACAGAATCACAGCACCCCAGAGCTGGATCAGGGCTGCAGGGGGGTCACCCCAGAGCACAGCAGAGAGGCAGGATCCCCACCCTGAGCTGCTGCTCATGCTCTGGGGGTGCACCCAGCACACGGGCTCAAACACTCACTGAAGCCGGGTCATGGGGAGCATCTCCTCAGCCAGCACCCCCAGCCCTTCTCCTCAGGCTGCCCCATCCCATCTCCCCCAGCCTGTGCCTGTGCAGCTCTCCGGTCAGCAGCATTTCCCACAGTTTAACCCTTTTCCTGCTCAGTTTCTGCAGAACATGTCAGCTGAAACCCACTCTGTGTTTTGCAGCAGCAGCCACACGAGTGCAGTCAACGCAGCATCTAAAATCACACGTTTATGAGATGCACGTGGCATGGCCAGAATCACCCAGAGGCTGTATGGAGATGGGGCTACAGGGGAGGGAGCACAGTGCCTAATCCCAAGTGGTTAGTCCCTGGGTTTGAGGCGAGTTGTCCCCACTGAGCCTGGCAGGACATGGACTGCAGCAAGAATGCCTGCTTTATGTGAGGCTGGTCACGAGGCAGAGCAGCAAGCCCAAAGGCTCTGCCTCCTGGAACCTCCAGCGTGGTGATCCCCGGTGTTGGGAAAGCAGAACTTTGCACTGGTGGTGAGAGACCGCGCCGCACAGGGAGAACAGGGAGAGGCAGGAAAGCCAGCGTCTCCCTCCTGCAGGAATCTGACATTTCAACCTTTCCCATCTTTCTGTTTAAAGGCAGACTTTAAGCAAGCTCCCATCTAATGATGAGTTTAACATTGTGCATCTCCACTCATCCAGACTGTCCTCATCATTCATGCCACGTTACCTTCTGTCAGGCCATTCAGGTGATGCAGACTGGGGACTGAGATAGCACCTTCCGTGTGGTACAGGACCAAGCTCTGCCTGGCATTGCCCACACCATAACCTGCAGCTCCATGCATCCCAGGTGCCATTTGCAAGCCAGGAGAGGTGCTTCACATCAGAGGCAACACAGAGCCCTGCAGCTTGGGCATCATTTTCTGCCCCGGGTGCTGCAGGGTCTGAAACCACTCCTGCAGACCTGGCTGCTACTCAGCCCCATTGCATTGATCAGATGAAGCAAATGGACTCACGCAATTGCTGTAACAAGGTATCTGGAGGCAAACAGCACTGCCAAGCAATTAGTGTCCAAACCATGTCTAATTACTCCCTTGGGTACATCTTATTGCAGAGCAAGGCAGGAGATGTCTTTGTCTGGGTATTATATTGGGAGTGTGTGATTCTGATTGGCTTTGGGCTGGTGCAAGGCAGGAAGAGCAGGGCTGTTAGATCATCATTTCTAGGACATGAGAGGGCTCTGGGGAGGCCTTAGAGCAGCTCCAGTGCCTAAAGGGGCTTCAAGAAACCTGGATGGGGGCTTTGGACAAGGGCCTGTAGGGACAGGGCAAGGGGAATGGCTTGAACCTGCCCAAGGGGAGACTGAGCTGAGCTCTTAGGCAGAAGCTCTTCCCTGTGAGGGTGCTGAGGCGCTGGCACAGGGTGCCCAGAGAAGCTGGGTTAGCTGTAAAAGATACAGATATAAAGGCAGTTTTCTATAGGCACACACTGGAGGTCTTAAGGACTTCGATACACAGTCAATTTTACAACGTAAGTATGGCAAAGCGCATGCTGGTTTAAGGGGTAGTCATGAGACATAAGTGGTCTGCTTCTAAGAGAGAACATCAGATATTTCCTAGCTATAATCAGGCATTCAAAGCTGACCAAATGTTACCGTTAAATTATATTTCCCCAAATAGGCAAAATGTGAATGGGGACCAAAATGCTGCTCAGTAGCGCTTGGTCAACCCCAGCAAACCACACTGGGGTGTGGGAAGGGAAGCACAGGCAGGCAGCAATGGCTTTGGCAGAGTAGACTCATTCACCTTCTCAGATGTGCTGCCCTGTCCATGGGGATGGTGCGAGTGAAGGCATCGCAGTGCGCTGCGGAGCTGGGGCATCCCCCAGGTGGAGCAGGGACCACGCAGCAGGAAGCGCGGGGCTGGTGATGGAGAGCAGCCTTCTGCTGGGAAAGAGCAGGGCTCCTTGGCACACGCCAGAGGAACACTTGTGCCTGAGCCCGGCTGCCCTGGGCAGGCACTGTGGAGCCCCGGCGCTCTCGCACTTGCAGGTGATTTCAGCCCTTCACAACTCGGGTCTTGTGGGAACATTTAGCACACAATAGTTGAACCACCCGGTGCGTGAAGAGGGGCAGCGCTGGGCACAGCCAGTCCCGAGATGGATCCCTTACCGAAAACACAAGTGAACAACGCACAGGGCTGGGATGTGGTAACTTACAGAGTGAGGAGCAGAGATTTATCAACAGTGCGAATGCAGTGGAGCAAACAGAGCAAAATAATGTGGAACGATCTTTCAGTTCTGTGGCATTGTGTGGGTTTTACTTTGTCAGGTGGTTTACAAAGCAGCCAGCAATTCCTGGGAATGCTGAGTTTAAAAAATAAAGTTGGAGAGAGAAAAACCTCACCAAGCGTTTCTATAGCTTGGTGACCACGATTGGTGCCACTCAGCAAGGCTGGAACACAGAGAATTCACTGAGCGGCTGAGATTCAGAAACCCTTTTGTTTAAATATGGCTTAAAATGACACCAAAAAGAAAATGGATGCAGGCCTGAAAACCTGACACACGCAAAGTTGTGATTGTCTGTACATCAGGCTTGTGGTGAGACCTATTTTAATGGCTTTAAAAAATACAAGTGCTACTGGAAAAGCAGAGTCACCAGGGCTTCCGCAGGGCCTAAAGGAATGTAGAGCAAAAACCAGTCTGAAATTCAAATGCCTGGCTCAAAATATGTTCTTCGCATCCCCTTTTACCTGCTCCTCTGCAGAGCTGCACCCACTGCTCCACAGCACTGCTGGCCGGGTGCACCCCAGAGCGTGGGCACCAGCTCAGGGAGGGGATCCTGCCCCTCTGCTGTGCTGGGGAGCCCCCCCTGCAGCCCTGATCCAGCTCTGGGGCAGCAGCACAAGAGGGACCTGGAGCTGTTGGAGCGAGGTCACGGAGCTGCTGCAAGGGCTGGAGCAGCTCTGCTCTGGAGCCAGGCTGAGAGAGCTGGGCTGGGGCAGCCTGGAGAAGAGAAGGCTCCTGAAGGGGAGACCTTAGAGCAGCTCCAGTGCCTAAAGGGGCTGCAGGGAACCTGGAGAGGGGCTTGGGACAAGGGATGTAGGGACAGGGCAAGGGGAATGGCTTTAGTGGAAGGGGTCCCTGCCCGTGGCAGGGGTTGGAACTGGATGAGCTTTAAGGTCCCTTCAACACAAACCAGGCTGGGATTCGATGGTCTCTGTGTGCACCAGGGCCTGTGCAGAGCTCGTTCCTAGCACAGACTGTGCAGGATGGCTCAGAGAGAGGAAAAGCTCTTGCCCTGACCCTGCCTCCACGTGGATCCCAGAGGATTCCTGCCTACCCTGCAGTGTGCCCCTTAAGCCTCAATCCATGCCATTGGGAGTATTTTTCCTGGTTGGCTCTAGGAAGGGAGCATCTCAGCAGAGAGCCAGTTTGTAATTTGAAATGGACATAAAATGAACTTCTCTAAATACACATGCTGTGGTGTGCACCACCTTCCCTGTTTGCTAGCAGAAAGAACCACACATGGATGTGATCAGGGGCTTGCACCAGAAGATAAAACCTCGCATTAAAGCTCGGTGCTGGGTGAGAATTGGTACATGTTCCCATTCTGTTTATGGCTCTGTTCTGCTATCGCCCTGCTCTACAGTGCTGCAATTACTGTCTATTTTAATGACCATGGCTGGAGCTGCTATAAATACCAGAACAAATTGTATGCGGTGCACAGAAGTTCCTTTTCCTTCCAGAAGTGCTGTGGTGTTCATTTGCACCAGAGACTCGTGACTTGGCACACTGAACAGCATGAATCCAAGTGCTTCTATGGCACTATTGGATCCACTGCACCCAATAAGGTGCCTGCTCATCTGTAACTCCAGGGCTGCTCCAGAACCAGACCTGGGGCTCTTGGTGTGTTTCTGGGTTGTTGTAGACACATAAAAACCCAGAAGGCTCCTTTTTTCCCCATTGGGGTTGCTTAGCGGGAATCCCAGCCATGAGCTGTGCTGGGGACCCCCTGCCCAAGGAGACCCTGGAACAAGGGTGTCTTTGGTGATGCTGACACTCCATGGGCAGGGACACCTTCCACTAGACCAGGTTGCTGCAAGCAGCCCTGAAACATGGGTAACTCCATCCAGAGTTTCAGTGGTGGTCTTGGCAGCGCTGGGGAGCGGTTGGATTTGATGAGCTCAAAGGTCTTTTCCAACCTGGTTGATTCCATGATTTAATACCAGCCATGAGCGCACCACACTAAAGTCGTCCTTGCCAAGGAGGTGTCTGACAGCGCTCAATGCATTTCACACCTCCTCTTGGGCCTGCAGTGAGCACACAGCCCAAAGTCAGACTTTCCCCCGCCCTAGACCCAGCACAAGGATTCATCTGTGCATTTGCTTAAAGGATTCCACTGTTGACCCATCCAAGGTTTCTTTGGTGACCACAGCTAATGCTGGTATGCAGAAAATGCCTGGGTACGGACCAGAACGGAGCTGCAGTTCCCGTGTCCGGAGCAACAGACTAAACATCTCTTGACGGTCAACTCCCAGTGTCCACCACTGCAGTTCTGTAATGATAACACTTCTTTGATACGGAAAACCACATGTGAACAGCCTCACCTGAGGAAGGACTGCGCTGAAACATCCTTAGAGGTCCGTGTCTTCCCTAGGAGCCACGGGTGTGCAGGAGCCTGTGGGTTTCTCAGCCTTACGGGTTCAAGCTAGGGAAGAAAATACGGTCCAACATGCAACAGGCTGAGAACACTGGGGCTGCTCAGCCTGGGGAGGAGAAGCTGTGCGGGGGCCTCAGAGCAGCGTCTGCAGAAAATGTTCTATGGAAGCTGCTTTTATTAAGCCACTATAAATGTGCCTCTCCATTTCCTGCTCCAAGTGCTTATTCTGGGTTAGAAAGCAACTGCAGTGTTAGGAATTATTAGAAAAGGAACAAAACCCAAAGCAGAACATCCCTATAAATCCATCTCAATGGATAATAATGGATAACGCTTCAGCCCTGGTGCTTCAGGCAGATCCAGCAGAGCTAGAAAAGGTACAAAGGTGACCAGAGGGATGGGTCTGGTTCCAGGCAGAGGGCAAGCAGAGGCTCTCACAAGGCAGGACACAACACGGGGTTGTAAACCCCAGTTGTGCAAAGGAATGAATATTCACGGATGCACAGACTGGTCTGGCTTGAAGGGACCTTTAAAGCTCATCCAGTTCCAGCCGCTGCCACAGGCACGGACACCTTCATGGGGTTCGAATCGCATCGTTCACTCACCATACCCCCCTTTGAGGCACAGACGAACAGACAGAAAGCAAACAGCAGGAACAACAGTGGCAGAAACCCCGCCTAATGCTGGTAAACAGGACGATACCAGTGACCGAAGACAGACACCACCGGTACTGCGGCTTCAGCGCAGTCCCCGACTGGGGCCACACGCGTGAGCCGGTGCCAACCCCTCGGGCTGCTCCGCAGGACCGTGCACGGGTCTCACTGCACCAGAGGGGTTACCCCGGAGGTGCCTCTGGCTGCCATAGGGTAAGGATGAGTCCGGGTGCACCGTGCCCGTTCCCGGGGCCCGGCCCGCAGGCGGCTGCTGCCCCCTTGGGGTGCTCGGTGCCTGCGGGCTCGCTCCGTTCTCAGCGCGCTGGGTTTGCTCCTCTGCTCGCAGGTTCCCGTCTGTGCAAAGCCTCGTTTGGCTCTGGCCGCACGGGAACTCGGCAGCCCTGTGGGGATCCCACCCCTTCCCTCCAGTGTGTCTGCCCCACACAGCTCGGTGCCATTGGCAGACCCGCTGAGGATGCTCGATCCCAGTGCCCATGTACTGATGGGGACCCCTGCCTCCTGACATGCACCGATGCAGCCCATGCCGCTGTGCTGCGCCCATGTCGAGGTCCTGAAGCCTGTTGGAGGAAGGGAAATAACTGGAGGTGACACTGGACAGGTTAGTGTTTTATTCAGTGCATTGGACTCATACATGGCCACGTTGTCACTAACAGCATCTCACACATTGCTATAGATCAGCAGAGCCCAGTCTCCTGTTAGATGCCTGGTGTAACATGTAAAGCAGCCTATCAAGTATTTACTGTAATGAGTGTAGCTCCGAGCCCAGTGCCAGGCTGTGTCCAGTGGCTGGTGCTGGGTTGCAGCAGTGGCTGGAGAATGGATCCGTGACTCGGGGTTGGTGCAGGACTTCGTTATCTCAGCCCACATTTATGGGGTGCTGGCAGCCCTGGGTCCCTCCTGCAGCTGCTGGTTTGATTGTGCTGGTGCTCTGAGCACAGGAAGAGCTGCACCTACCACATCCCTAATGCACAGCTATGGAAAACCTGACTGGGGCCAGGGCATCCTGTGTGTGCTCCATGCCAAGGACAGTCCCCCCGGCAGCACCACATGTCCACCCCATCCCTGCAACCGGGGAGCAGCAGGGGTCACAACAGCACAGCAAACCAAAGAGAAACACAAGGTGCTCAGGCCTGACTGTCAGGGCAGAGTGGGATGCGTTCAGGATGGACACAGCACACCTCCAGCATAGGCAACAAACTGGGCAAGGAGGTGGATGCTGGGGAATGCGGCAGCTGAGCATCCCACCAGTGCCACTGCTGCAGCATGGGTTCTGCTGCCTGCTCTGAGCCCAGCATATGCAGGCCATGTCCTCAACCCTTCCCACCCATGGAACAATGCAGGGAAGGCTCCATGGGTACAGCTTGGAGCTGGTCCCCACTCCCTCTTGCAGGGCAGCACAGGCTGACAGGGCTGGTGCCAGCCCTGTGGATCTGCAGCAGGATCCACCTCCGCTCATCCCCGTGCATCACCCTGCTCCTGTGCTCCGGCCCCAGCTCTCATCCTGCCTCGTACCTGCCCTCACTCGCTCATTCACCCTGCGTGTAAGGAAGGAGACAGCGCGTTGCCAAAGTAGCTATCTTGGAGGAAATAAATCTATTGAGCTTTATTGAGCTGCCCGTTGCGGGGCCTGCACTGTGAGTGCAGTCCCTGAGCAGCGGTGCTAGGGCATGGTGACTGTCCGGCCGGCGCTCCTGGCTGCTGTAAAGCGCCTCTTATTCCTCAGACCAGAGAACCTCTCATCCAGCGTCAGGCTGGTCTGCAGGGGAAAGGGAGACTGAGTCAGTCCTGCGCCTCGTGGCAAAGCACGGCCAAACCTGCAGCAGGGTATTGATTAGAGCCCATCAGTCAGGACAGTGCTTCGCAGCCAGTTAGTCAATTAAACCACTCAGCACATGGAGACAAGGAGCTTGACAGACTGGGTGCAGCTGGAAAACAGCTTCAAGCAGCACCTAGCCCCAAGATACCGGCCGTCCTCAGCAACAACAGGAGCAAGCACGTGGCATTTGAGCACCAGGTATGAAGTAAAACCAAACCATCCAGACAAGGAATGTCCAAACAAGCAGTGAAGAAGCCGGAGCAGGGTCTCTGACCTGCCCCAGGGCTCTTGGACCATACTTCACCACAAAACTGGCACTGAGAAGGTCACCAAAGCAAAGAGAGAGCAAAGCCCACAAGTGCTGTGTGTCTCTGAGGAGCTGGGAGCACTGACAGTGGAACAGTCCCTGTCGTCCAGGACCACTCACAAGCAGGATCTCCCTGCTCTGAGCAAGCATATGGCCAGGCCAAGAGGGGACAACGGAGTGGGGAAAACTGGGCTGAGTCTGTAGCTGCTGAACAGTCTTCTCAGATGCCTTCAGTTCAGTGAGCAACCCCGCCAACACGGGCCTCTGCTCCCAGGTCATGCTACACAGACCCGGCTGGCAGCCCCAGAGACCTGAGCGTGGTGTGACCGGGTTAGTGGCAGCGCTGCTGCAGGGAGCAGGGTGCTGCCTCTGCCGTCCACCATCCTCTACCTGGTTGGCCATGGCACGGAAGTTGAACCTCAGCAGCACCCCCTTGGGCTGGGGCTTGGCTGCGCGCGGCGGCGGCCTCCGGCTGCGCAGGAACGGGCGCTTGGATCCGGGCCTGGGGAGAGCACAGACCCGCGGTCACCCACCCTGGAGGGGAATGCCCGAGACCAGCGAGGGAAGGAGGAGACACCCAGATGCCCCTATGGCCCATGGCCCATCTCATGGTAGGGTGGGTGAGGGAGACACTGTGTACCATGAGGGTGGCAAAACACTGGCACAGGGTGCCCAGAGAGGTGGTGGCTGCCCCATCCCTGGAGACATTCCAGGCCAGGCTGGAT